AACAGAGAGTGGGAATCCTTGATGCACTTTATTGTCAAGAAAATCAGAAGGGCTTCGAGTACGCGTTGAATCAATGATGAGACGCTAAACCAGCCATAATTGGAGGGTCATCTGTGTTTGTGCCCTCATAATTCAGAATTATCAATGCATCGGCTCAAGCAGAATGACTGGCTGCAATGCTATAAATACCTGGTCCCTCAAGATCAGAACATTCGTTCTCAAGCATTCCTTTGTCACTCTGGGCCAGAGCATTCGAAGCGCTTCTCGTCTCTGCCGGCTACTCATTTGGATAGAATGACCCCAAATTGATATGCAATTGTGATAAGCTAACCTTTCACATTATCGCACTAGCCTGTTTTCCTCGGTACTGAATTTTTTGAAGAGAAAAGTGAGTGTGGTTGTTCCCCCCCCCCCCCGTCATCTGGAATCTTGCTGACATGGAAGATGCTTCATATCAGTCCCACCTCCACCACGCCCTAGGAAACCACCGAACGAACCTTGGACGATCTCAAATTATCGCAGCTGCGAGTATAGTGAGTGATAGAATGCTTTCTCAAGCTACTTACTGATGATTAATGATAGGTCGAAGTCATCCCTTATGCAGTCGCTTCGACCTTGCCAGAATGCAGCGGGCAGCAATAGCTGATAACGTGAGTTTTGTCATTGTGGTAATTATGAGAGTAGTTACCATGCGCTGACGACTCCCTGTATAAGATAGCAGACTTCCGATGACAAGCCGTTCCATGACTTGTAAGTCGGCGTGGTGTGTTGCCTCTGCCGATTCCCATGGCCGGGGCTGCATTTTGGATCTCACTGCAGGTGTTGTGTAGTTGAGGTTTTATCTTGTCCTGCTCTTTGTCCATCAAAAACATTTCTGAGGCCTCTTTCTCGTCACAGCAAAAATGCCAAGAGATCACTCGCATCGACCGAGCCGCACCTCTCCCAGCCCTTCCTGTCCGACCACATGTCAACTGTCGCTGCTCTAGAAGTCATCCGTATTCAGACGGCTCTGCACGTCTTTTCCCATTGCCGATTTAAAGTTCCGGCGACGGCATGGTCGGGCTCCATGCTAAATCGAGTGAGCTATCGCAGCGTTCGACGGCACTGAAAAGAAACCTAGCATCGACGGCCCTCGAGATAGAGCCCGGTTTCTCCGATAATAGTAGCAATCAGGAAGAATCGAGTTTCTGGTCACAGGCTGAAGCCAACTTTGTCAGGCCCCGGTTTGCAGAACAGAAAGCGAAAAGCCAGGCCGCAGCACTGGATGTATCCCAGATCTCTAGCCGCGACAGCAGTCGTTTTCAGGTCAGTTCATGGTTTTCCCTGGACCAAAGACCATGGATCCCTTCTCCAGTGAAAATTTCTCCCGACATGGTTGAAGATCTGCCTGGCGCACGAACAGCAAAGGCGAGACAGCTATGCATTGGCAGATTCAGCCAACATCCATTCCCCGCGATCTGGAGTGATCCCGGGCCCTCGTGCACCTGTGATCCGGCCGAGCCCGCTGCCTCGTCTCTGATTTGCCTATTCCAATGCCAGACTACACTGACAGCAAGGCTCTACCACTCCTCAGCCACCAGACACCATGCTGACCTCCGATGGCAGTGAAACACAACCCTGGTTCGGCCTTTCCCACGAGTCCGGCCGGGGTGCTGTTCGCGGCTGGTAACAGGGGATCTCATCTGGGGCATGAGCACGGTGAGTGGCGAACGACCACCTTACGCCAGCTGCTGATAATCTGTGCTAGATCGAATGCTCCTCCTCGATGTCATCACCGAACGCCATGAACTCATCAGCAGAAGCAGCCTCGTGAAGTAGGGCCAGTTGATTGCCGCAACGGTTACAATTGCTCAATTATGACTCGAAAGATGCCAGGTCAGTTTGTAATAACTCGTGGATAAGACGTAATTGTTGACTTCGAAATTAGCAGTCATGTTTCTGTCAGTGGGAATGTCACGTGTTCCCGGCGCGAGACGCTGCGACGCGTAAGTGCACGGCCTCGTCGCCTGTGGCACACGTCCGAATACCGCCGGATGCTGCCATGGGTCGGCATGCTCAAGTGACTACGGAAAATTGGTTTCATTTTAATCATGAGGTGGCCAAGAGGTAAAAATCAACCGTAGAAAACACGAAATCACCCGAAAATCCAGCGGGTTTTGATCCGTCTTTCTGATGAAAGGTCATCTGAATGTATCCTGCAGGAATCGAACCGGAGCCGTGATTAGAAAGTAAATGCAGCAAGTTCCATTAGACCAGATTGGGAGAGGTGCTGGCAGCGCGAATTTTGCTTAATCATAACCACCATTTTCTAAATAATCATACCCGCCGTTCTTCCGGGCACGCACCCAGCCAGATCAGCGTTTTGAGCTCCACAAGTGTCTTTCATTTGATCAGGCCGACACAAAATGATAAATGAATTATGTTCGGAAGAATCAAGTTTTCTATCGCTGTTACAGAGAAATTCGAAAACAGTTTCCCCTCTTGACACACACGTGTTGTATCTCGGGTTGTACCCGCAATGAAGCTGAACTGAAATAGGATATAGCTGTAAGATAATGGCCAATAATTTCCGGAACAGCTTTTGGCTAGATCATTCCATTGTAAAATTCGCTTTAATTACACTCTGTGAGAGAAAGTCTGAGTCTCCGCAGGGGAAACTGTTTTCGAATCCTAGTGTATTCTGGTGGTTCGTTCCCGACTTTACCGCCGATAATATACATAGTAGCACCGGTCTACGGATATATATATCAGATATCAAGCTAACATGCAGCGACACTACCTCAGATACAGAATATCGTCAAAGAGCACACGACGATGCTCGAGCCGAGAGAATGTCATACTGAAGAGCGACCGGAGTATGTACTACCATATTGAATCTTATATGTAGAAATCATCATTTCGCACTGTTTATCAACTTTTGCATTCGTGAGGGAACAAAGACTCTCACTATGACGGGATGGGTGTTTACCGTTGGCCGCCACTTCACCGCCCAGGAGTCACCCGCACTGCCCATCAACATATTGATTCACGATTCACTGGTCCGATCGCCATCACCATTGTTGAGATAGGTAGTTGTAATATTCTTGTTAAGGTTACTATCAAAAGTGGGAGACCCATCTATTTAAATGTACATCGCTAGTCTCGCCACACAAGCTTTGACCACCGTGATATTCAACACTCCCACTCGATGGCAACCATCTCCGATGGTGCCAGTGACACTTCAATCGGGGTTAGCAGGTCCCATTAAAACCTTCCAAAAAACTTCATTTGAGAAGAAAAGAAGGAAAGGGTATCCTGTACCTTGAACTGGTTCAAGTGAAATGGAGTCGTGATCACTCGATGCCAAGTTCTTTTCGAAACCACTCAAATCTTTGCCGAGGCAAAGGTTTGGTAAAACCATCGGCAATCTGCTCTGTGGTTGGGACATAACCAAGCTGTACACTTCCGCTATCTTGGACCTCCCCCTGCCATTTGCGTTGGATTTCCATATGTTTTGTGCGGGAGTGGTATCGTGGATTTGAAGCAAGAGCGATGGCACCTTGGTTATCACCGCAGATGATTGTGGCGGTTGTTCCTTGATCCATATTCAATTCATTGAGAAGTCTTCTCAGCCAGACGGCTTCTTTGGTGGCTTGCGTTTGCCCTAGAAACTCGGCCTCGCAGGTTGAAAGGGCAACAACGCCCTGGCGTTTCGATTGCCAACTGATTGCTCCGCTTCCAATGTTGAAGAGATAGCCAGCTGTGGATCGTTTCGTGGCGTGACATCCTCCACAATCTGCATCTGTGAAGCCTCTCAGTGTCTGAAGCTGACCTTGGTAGGTGAGTCTGAGGTTCTTTGTTCCGTTGAGGTACCGCAGGATGCGACGGGCCAGTTTCATGTGCTGGGGCCCGGGGTTCGAGAGAGATCTGCTAGCGACAGAGACCGCATACGCGATGTCCCCCCCTGGTTCCAAGCATGATATACATCAGTGATCCGATAATGCGTTGGTAAGAGGTCCTTTGATCTGGAGAGCAGGTGTAGTCTGGTCTATTTTCCGGAAGTGGTGAGGTTTCGATCGGCGTACTGACGGGAGCGCAGTTGTCGATTCCAAATTGATAAGCGATATTGTCAATATATGCCTCTTGGCTTAGGAGCAGTCTCCTGTTTTGACGGTCTCGCTGGATGGACACCCCGAGATAGTAACTGCATGGCCCCAGGTCCGTCATCTGAAACCGGTTTCTCAGGCTTCGCTTGATCCTCTTGATCTCAGCGATGCTCGGACCCACGATCAGGAGATCATCAACGTATACTGCGATGTATACACTGCTCCGGACGAAGATACCGAGATCGGCGGTGATTGGCTCGAAACCAAGGCTGCGAAGGAAGTTTGTCAGGGTCTGGTACCAGATCCGAGGGGCCTGCTTCAGGCCATAGAGGGCCTTTCGAAGCTTGCAGACCCGTGGCGTGCCGTCCGCCATGTGATGGGGCTGTTCGACGTAGATCTCGTGGTCGATATCTCCGTACAGGAATGCGGTTTTGACATCCATTTGTTCAATCTCCAAGTCCAGGGCCGCTCCGATGGCGAAGAGAGCCTTGTAGCTCATTGGCTTCGATGCGAAAGTTTCATCATAGTCCATCCCTTCTTCTTGTGTGAATCCTCTCACTACCCATCGGCTTTTGTGGCGGATGATTTCGCCATGCGGCCCGCGCTTGAGTTTGAAGACCCATTTACCGCTGAGCACCCGCCGATCTTTGGGAGTATCCACAAGTTCCCACGTGTGATTTTGGTGGAGCGAATTCACTTCCTCAAGCATGGCTCTTTCCCAATCCATCCAGCTTGGGTCGTTTTTTGCTTGGCTCAGACTTTTGGGTTCGAATGGCTCCGTCTCCTTTGCAGCCATGGCCAAGAGGGTTGGAATGACGTTCCCTTCAGGTACGTTCATGAGCGCAAGCTCTTCGTCCCCATCAGGATTATTCAATGTAGCTTCCGAAGCCCAAAGTTTGAGTTCAGGGTGGTGATCTAATGTTCCTTGTTGAACTTCATGGATTGGCCGATGGAGCTCGGAATATCGTTGGCATTCTGAAATTGGCCCACGTTGGTGTTGCTGATCGCCACCGGATGGTGAATCAATCCCAAGGACAGAATCCTGATAATCAGGTGATAATGGCCCGAGGGTGTTCCCTCTCCGTGTGGTCGATAAGGTTATGTCTCCCTGTGCAGCAACTGCGTCGCCCTGTTGCTGGTCGCCACCGGGTGGCGATTCAATCCCAGGGACAGAATCCTGAAAAGCAGGTGATAGAGGTCCGAAGGTGTTTTCACTCCGTGTGCGCGACAAGGTCCTGTCTCCCTGTACAGCAACAGCCGGCTGCGTGTCATCGTCACTCGTTTGGGACGACGCTTGAGTTTGCGAGATATCGTCACTCGGCTGGGTAAGCACTCGCGAGTTATCATCACTCCGAGGCAGTGTGTGCGAGATATCGTCTCTCGGCTTAGGTAGGGCCCGCTCGGGGGGGATCCATCGACAATCGGTGCCCCGAGGCAGGCACGGATGCTTGCCGCATTCCTACCGACGGTTGGTTTATTAGTCCCACCGTTCCACTCCCCCTGCGGCAGCAGCCGTTGCCTCAGGTGAGCCGTCTTGTCTGGCTCCCACATCTTCCATGGTCCGTGTGGAGGGAGCTGTAAGGATTTCTCGAAATTCAGCATTTGGTGTTCCAATGATTCTCCCGTCTCCCAAGAGGATACGGTAGTTGGTATTTCCTTCGTAGCCTAGCAAAATACATGGCCTTGTTCGTGGATCCGTGAGCTTCTTTCTTTGCTTTGGCGGAATTAAGTATTCTCCTTTGGATCCGATGACTCTTAGTCTGGAGAGGTCAGGTCTGTCGCCGTACCACGCTTGGTACGGAGTCATGTGGAGCTTCGAAGACGGGGACCGATTTGAGAGGAAAGCTGCAGTTCGAGAAATTTCCGGCCAGAACTTAGACGGCAGCCTTGCATGTGCTAGTGTAGGCCCAAGGCGGTCATAGATTGTCTTATGAGCTCTTTCGGCAACCCCATTTTGCTGATGTTGATTCACTCCTGTCACCTCCGCTTGGATTGCGCGCGAGAACAACATGAACTTCATCTCGTCTCCTATTTGTTCAGATATCCAGTCCAGACGTATTCGTTTGCATTTTTGCTCGGGGCGCTCGTTGTGGTCGAGGAAGAACCGTAGTGATTCTATGACGAAGTGTTGTCTTTGCGGTATAGGGAAAATCTCGATCCAACCCGTGAAGTCGTCAACGATGGTCAGCCAATACCGGCTGCCATCAAGGCCCTCATCAAATGGCCCTGCGACGTCAATATGGAGGAAGTCCATTGCGTGTTCTCCTCTCCTGCTGGCTCTTGATCTTCTGTGAGACCTTTCGATCATTCGCCCCTGCAGACAGGGATTGCATGGATGGCGTGCCTCCATATCCCGCACGCCATGAGCCTGCTGCTTGAGTCGCTGAAGGTTTGCATCACTCATGTGAGCAAGCCGGCTGTGCCACAGAGACATTTGTGGGCTAACATGGTAAGAGGGGAAAGCTAGACTTGCCCATAGATCGAGTGCGTAGACTCCGTGATATTCGCTGGCAGTAAACAGATTCTTTCCGTTTGACTTGTTGCGAAGAATAGCATCCCGGCTTGAGAATTCGACCTTTGCCCCTCGTTGGAGAAGCTGGAGCACCGATATGAGATTGGCATGTGCAGATGGGAGATACAAGACGTCATAAAGCACTAGCCATTTCTTTCTGCCGCGTAAATTGCACAGGATATTTACTATTCCCACTCCCGAGGGAGTTGTTGAGGTATCAATGACTCTCAGTGAAGGCCCGTGATATTTAGCCATTTGGACAAACCCGGAGGCGCTATTGCAAACGTGTTGAGCGCATCCACTATCCACGATCCATGCGTCCCGGATAGAGGGGGTCTTGATCGCCATCAATATGGGAACATGGTCACATAGGGCGAGATTGCCCTCGATATCGTTTCTAAATGCTTCGTTGACATCTTTCCCGGAGACTTTTGTCGCCATGAAGGTTGGTTTCTTCGGGTCCTTTGAGCCACTCGCATCGTCGTCCTCGTCGTCCGTCAAGGTCCGCCTCTTTGACTGTCTGCGTGCGCCTATGGGCATTCTGCCTGGTCTTGGCTTCGGTCCGTCTCCGTTTTTGTTTTGGACCTTCAGTCTCGGGTTCTTGGTGAAACATTCGGCGTCGATGTGATAAGGTTTTCGGCAGAAGGAGCAATACGGGACGTTATCAATCTCTATTCGGCAAGTACTTCCGTCCGACGACGGTATGAGCTTCTTATCACCTGGCCCACGGACTAGGGCGAGAGCAGGAAGTGCTTGCGTCTCCATTGCTTGTTTGCCCAATTGCCCTTTTCTATGCTCTTCCTCAATTGCCTTATTCTCGATATAGTCAAATGTAGGTGCTGCTTTGATGATACTCCCATTTGCATCTCTTTCGTTGACAAGATTCATTTGTCGGAAGATATGATCGCGGAAGCTCTCGTACTCGGGGCCGAGTGCATGAACAAAGAAAAATGTTCGCTCAATTTCGGAGGTCACGCAGTCAGGGTCAAGAAGGAGCTTTTCAGCGTGGATTTTCCTGATCTCTGCCCCTAGCGCTTGGGTGCTCCCACACTTGTCTCTTGTGAGGGTCATGTATCGTCGCTGGAGACAAACATATGTGCCAGAGCCTTCGGGTTTGAAGTTGTCCTGGACTGCCTTAAGCAGTAGTTGAACTCGCCGGATCTCAAAAGCATTGGTTCTTTGCGCCGCGTTGTGTGTCAACTTTGCCGTAATCATCGCAGAATAGAACTTTTGGCGGTGAATCCATTTCCGTGCTTCTTCTTCATCTATCGGTGGAGTCTCTCCATCGTCGGCAATGATTCCGAATTGTTCGAACTTTGCGATTTCAGTCATGTCGGCATAGGATGCTCCTCGGAACTGAAGAATTCAGAGGTAGATATGTCGCTTTAAGCCGAAAAGTTCAAGGCTTGACGCCGCACTGGGAAGGCTTGAGACAATGGAGACGCTTCGATCTGATGAGCTTGGCGTAGACATCCGAGATGGAGGAATATAGTCGCTGTCTGAGAGCCCTTGTAGATCGATAGAGTGCTTATACGATCTAAAGAAGTGTGGGAAATGGTGTCGGTCAACTAGATACTGCGGCTCCCTTGGAGGGAAAGTTGAGGGTCTGTGTGGCCGAAGTTCGTAGCGACTCGAGTTGGACTCGTTGGAAATGAATGGCGTGTTTCTATCCTCGGGGCTTTGATGGGTCGATGCCAAAGCCTCAATTCTGTTTTCTGACCGAGTGAGAGTGATAGTGCCAGAGGCGGGGCAACTAAAGCGACTTGTCCCCTGCTCAATACTGGATGACGCGGGTTGCGTTTCGACGGCCGTTGGGAAGCCTTCCACAGAGCTGCAAGGTGCAGCTGGGATAATGGTTCTCGACGCTCGGTGATTGCGGTCCTCAATGGACAGGTTCCAGTAGGCTCCTCGGAGTGCGCTGGAAGAAAGTGTTGGGAAGTATGACGTTTGGATTTGTTTGAAACCCAAGTGGTGAGTGTATCGAAGGTACGAGAGGATGTTGAGCTCCTCGTCCGTCCAAGAATGTCTCTTTTGTACTTTCCCCCGCATTTTGTCGCAGAATCGAGATATCCCTCGGGCTGGTAAACCCGAGAAGATGATTCTTGGGCTTGATTCAAATTGTGACACATCCTAGCTGTAGATACGACTCCACAGTACCCCATGCCAGTGCGATAGAGTAACCGTAGCAATAATGGCGTAATGTATATGATCCTTCTAGCAGAGACACAATTGAAACTTCGCTGCAAACGGTGACATGTCTCCGCTACGAGGGTAACCCTGCAGTACCCCATGTCGGCGAGACTGTAACAGTAGCAATGATGAGATATTTTCTGTGATTCTTTGGCGGAGATAGTCCAACTGTGTTAATGCTCCAAGAGAATTCGAGTCATAGGACTTCGTAGTTTCCATCAAGTTACTGAAAATATATGATCAGTTTCAGAACTTCATGGACTCGGTTTTTGATAGAGAAGCTTAGCTGTAATGGCAGACATAAAAATGTCTCCATTTTTCTCTTTAGATCCTTGAGTGCCCAAAGATAAAGCCATCCGGGCTCATAACCTGTTGAGATAGGTAGTTGTAATATTCTTGTTAAGGTTACTATCAAAAGTGGGAGACCCATCTATTTAAATGTACATCGCTAGTCTCGCCACACAAGCTTTGACCACCGTGATATTCAACAACCATCATCACCACCTCTCAACCGTCACTCACCTCCAGCCCTCACCATCAACACATCAACACGTCAACACTGTCAACAACCAAACACCATTAACACACCGACCCACCACCCACTCACCGTCGAAACTCCGCATCTCCCTACATCCGAACAAATTCTGCTGCCACTACCAGCCAGAAGAAACAAGCATTCCTACCAATGGATTACTTTGGATATCACCTGGCACCCAGATTGGCTATCCTCATATCGGTGATTGACTCGATGCTCTAATTCACACTACGTGACTACGTGGAAGGGAATGTCCATTCTCAAAGCTCAGGACGCGGTTGAGCGCTACAAAGTGCATTGCTCGAAGCAGGGCCATGTACGGTGGCATCTACATGCAATACTGAAGTCATTTTACAACAAGCATTGTTGGATTCTTTACTTCTATCGATTCTTTGGAGCAGGTCTTGGCTTCTTCGAGGTCCCAGACGGACCCGAATACTAGTATCTGACACCGCGAAGAGGTGACTGCATGTCGCCAGAGGATCAGGACGAGGACCGCGGCGCCACGGGTCGCTTAACAAGCACAAATCTGATAACGCAGGGCTCAAGGCTGCATGGAAGCTCAAGATTATACAATCACAGGGCTCAAGGCTGTGAGGGAGAACTTGGTGTCGCAGCGGTCTCCTGCGGAGGTTCTTGGTAACGAAGGCGTCCCTGCGGAGCACATGTTTACAACGCAGGGCTCATTGCTGCGAGGGAGCACGTTTCTACAGCACAGGGCTCATCGTCTGTGAGGAAGCACACTCTTACAATCGCAGGGCTCATTGCTGCGAGGGAGAACTTGTTGACGCAGCACTCTCCTGCGAGGCACACTTGTTGACGCGGAGCCCGTCCTGCGAAGAGTACTTGGTAACGCAGATCTTACCTGCAAAAGACACCCCAAGGCTGCGAGGCCCGGAGTGTGAGGAGGAAAGTCCTGCTTTTCTTTTCGACGGGATAAGAGCGTCTTTTATGCTATTCTGAGTATGGGTTTCGGCAGCGACCACTTGCGTACATTTTGCCGGACCCAGAGATTTGACTCGAAATCCGCAGCGGGCGACCCTAATTTCGCTGGGCGTTGAGGCGGTTTATCAACGTTGAAATAAGAAATTTCAAGAGTTCGGGGCGGAGAGAGCGGGTGGAGTGGCTGGATCCACCTGGAGCCGTGGTCGGCATGATGCGATGCGTGACAAATCTTTTGCCTCATCAACGTTGATTCACCTGGGTCAAACGGCCTGCAACGCAGTTGGTATGAGGTAAAGACCGAAGTGGCATGCCATGGGCTACTCGGCGTGGCAGCTTAATTTCTTGAGGCTCCAGAAGTCTGCCAATATTCGGTCGCACCGTAGCCAATCAATTCGCAAATCATTGGTCTCAACATTGCTCAACGATGTGAAACGGGTTTCACGCAGCTAATATGTAGAGTCGTTCCATGGAAGACTCGCCTTGGCATATCGATTGCCCGCCCGCGGAAATTTTCGCCAGCAAAAATTTTGCTCTCGCCTCCGTGAGAGAAAAATGCTTTCCCTCAGCCTAGCCGACACATTTTCCGCTGCAAGTCGCAGTCACTGCAACGCCTCATGCCGCCCAAATTATAATTCCACTTGCCAGTACAGGACGACAAGGGTACTTCGTGTGCCCACGCCTACAAGCCGGCCGACGTACCATTGATGAAGAGATGTCGACGCCGAGTCCGTCGTCGGAACATGATATTGTCGCGCCCAGCATTCAAGGTCTCCATGGTCAATCAGCAGCCGGTAAATCACCTCGCAATCCTCTCGAAATTGAATAATTAGTGATTATCGAAGGCCCTGAAACGCTTTTTAAAACAAAACCAGGGACTGCACCCAGGGACTAAAAGCCAGGGTAAGCTAAAGTAAGAGACTAGAGCGCCTTCGCTACATATGTACTAAGCTGATCTGTTCTTTCCTCAATAGCTGGCGTACTGGAATCTACAGTATGTATACGTATTCAGTCTTCCACTGCTATTGAAATCGCGTGTGCATCGATATCTGCCAGGCTGTTGCATCTCTCAGAGGCTGGTAGTCCTGACGGCGAGGGAGCCCAGCAACGCCATCAAAATACTTGTTCAAAAAGCGTTGTATACGTTTCGGAAACTTTGGTCAACGATCAAAATTTCTATGCATCGACTAAGATTACTTGAAAAAAAGTATGACCTTTTGACTTCCCGCGTAGAGTTCACTGCATATTCTCCAGCATTTGCTTCATCTTCTCCATCTCCCTTTTTAGAGTTCCAATCTGTCGAGCTAGAATTCTCACATCACCAGCAAGGGTTTCCGGATAACCCATGTTGGATTTGCTATCCAAACTTTCGAGTCAACCATTAGCGTCTTTCTACCTTCAAGTCTCTTGACTGTGGAATCCAAGAAATTTCACGGAATATGAGCTGAGGCTGGCTACGAGTACTTAATTTGTTGCTTTGCTCACGCTACTGTAGAGACACTGGTTAGATATCATATGGGACACTAAAGACAGAGCACCACAATATTCTGAGACGTAGTGACTTACCGATTAGCCGAAGAATGAAAATCATCAGACTGACAGGGTAAAGAGCCGTCGACAGATCCCTTTTCCGGAACCCCTTCGAATCGGACCTTGCGGTCGCGCTTTGCGTCATGACGACGCTTCTTAATTCTCTCCATGTCGTTGTCTCGAACGCGAAAGGTGCTTTGTGGCTTTTGTCCAGAGAGAATCTCTCCATTTCTTGCCTTCTCTGCTCGGCCCTCGTTGTGATTCGTGTTAACACGAGCGACATGTGCGTGCAATTTTTTCACCCAGTGACTGGATACGTGATTGGCTTGGTCGCTCATAATAGTATAGCAGTGGAAGACACTCCAGGAAGCAAAAGAACGATATTGGGAAGCAACAGCAGAGGATTGTCAGAGATTTAGAAATAGGAAACATTGAATATATCTAAGAGCATGCCATTTAAAGGGAGCTTCAGACTTTATGTGTCAGCATTATCTACCGTGTGTGTTTCTTGGCCTCAGGATCCATGGAACAAAACCCAATGGACAGTGGTTAGGGAAGGAATTCCGTTTTCATTCTAAGGTACATGTAACTTAACAACTCTGGGAAAAGTCTAGGCTCTCAAAGAATTCAAAACATGTCCAGAAAAATAGAACTCTATCTCTAAACCAGCCCAGAGGTTAACTCAGAGACTCAAACACAAGGCCAAAGGTTTTTTTTATGCTTGTTTCAAAACATCTGCCTCTATAAGGAACTTAATCAGGACTGGAGATTCAACACGGTTGCAATTCTGGGTCGAAATGGCATTCTGATAAATGGACCTGGGGAGATTCTTCAGTCTTCGAATGGTAATCCCTCTTTGAACTCTGGCGAAGTTAACTCTTTTCAACCCCTACCTTATGCTTCCTCTGGCTTGAATGAATGAAAAATGTTCGAGGAATCACGTCTCTCTTCGCAAAAATCTCACTCGGTAGTGACACGCTTTCGAGGGACTATTATTAGCTTCTTAAAAGGCCTCATATGACTATTGAAGTACTAGATCACCTGCTCGGGATTAAAATTCTACGATAGACGTGGAAGAGAAACAATGAGCTCATATAGTACTTTAATGTGTATTTGAACAACAATATCTATGAGGAAACTATGCAGAGGTTTCATAAAATCGCATACCAAGTAGATTCTGCAAAACACACCGATAAATGTTGTGTTTAAAGTAACTGGCATATCAAAGCTGCTCTGATAGGTATCTTTACCAATAATACTGTCGCTTCGAAATTCACCCGCAATACCACCCCCCGATTGTTACTCGCGGTGAAGACGTAGCCCATTGGTTCCGCAGACACGGTGTACATAGTCCCAAAGCCAGGACCTGGACTGAAATTCTTGCGGTTGAGGATGATGCGGAACTGGTGTGGTATAAACTATGACAGAACAATTAGCATGAGTAATCTACAAAGAAGTGCCTGCGTACCGGGATGCGATCTTTCTGTGGCGGAACTGTTATCTGAAGTGGTGGACTCTGCTGAAGGAATTCTCTGAAGCCACTGGTCGATATTTCGAGCCTTGGTATCTGTGAATGCTGGGAATCTCTTCCTGGCACCCCCAAGCCGTCGAATACGTTTCTGACGTTTTGGAACCGAGCGCTGCCTAGATAACTTGGCACGATTGAGACGGCGTTTGCGGAGAATGTGGTAATTCTTCCCCCGGAGCGATTCGACTGTTCGCTTGATCCCATATTGCTCATGATAGGCGGCAGCACGGGCATCCCAAGACAGAGCTCGGTTTGTATTCAGCCAAGGGAGAAGTTTATCCTCCTCCCATTCTGACCAGCCTAGCGAACTGTGTTGAGACATCTCAGGTAATAAGGGGCAGTAGGAAATAAAATGCTGTTTTGTGAGCTTTCTGCAGGAAAGTGAAACGTACAGAAAGTGGGCGTGGTGAGCTTTAAACTTTTCGCACCTACTGAAATGGTTCCAGTGAAGCGGCGGATTCTAGAAGCAATCATACCCAGAATACTCAACTAATCCCCAGGGATCACTGGTTATCCCTAGAACTTGCCAGTGAAGTGATGAACCAATGCAACACGTCAGAGACATGGGTAGATTGAGATGTCCCGTGGTTCTGTTCTGTAACCTTGAACCCTCATTTATTTACTGAATTTCGGATGTTATCCAACGATGCTCAACCAACACGCATGGTTTGTTTCCCAACAAGTTCACCGAAAGAGCGGATGTAACGTGTTGAGAGCTTGAAAGAACGTCTTTGAATCCACACAAAGCCATTCTTCGCCCATAACGCCACATGGCGTCACGACTGAACATTGTGATTCAGATATCGTACCACGGCGATTAGCTTTTTCTGTGATCACTATAATCAACATCTGCCAATTTCCGTATATTATCTGTTCGTCAATTGGAGTGAATTGTAGATTGATCAAGTCTATATGACGCCGTTGTTGCAGACGTATTAATTCTAATAGAAAAACTAGAAACTGGATGCCGGCTAGAGGCTAAAAATAGTGGAGGCTATTTCGATTAGATCTCCGGATATAGAGATCAGTGGGGCAAGATCTCCCCGCCACCTCAGATCGTCCATCCGCTCCAGGCTTGGTCGCGGGTTTAGCATACCCCTAAGTTTCCATTTTTTTCCTTTATTTAATATTCCACTTTAACGTAAGAGATCCAAATAAGCTGGAATTCTCTGCCCTGATATTAACAACTCTAAATATACCTTCTCGTCGAAGACTATCACTTGTCAATGGACGGCGCGACTTCCGAAACAGACTAAAACGTGCATTATCTCTGTTATCCTCCGAATTAAGCAACGAAACTAGGAGCCAAAGACCTAGAATAAATTATACCACTGGGCATACGTTGTCTTTCGAGAATAATAGAGCTGTCGGATGCAGAAAGTCGGAATTGAAGCCGACAATCTGAAGGGGTACTATTGCCGACTGTGGGAGATGAAATCTGAGAATAAGATAAGTCGGCCCGAGACTCTATCCGCGCCCGAGCCCGAGCCCGAAGAGTCCATATAATATAGCATTATTGCACCGAAATATGTTTCAGAGTGAGTACTAAGACTGAAAATGGTTGTTATTTTACTAATATATTGAATCAAGTCTGGATGACCGAATGAAGTCAGTAGTACAGTATATAATAAAGAGGCTAGAAACACTACTGATTTTTACTCTACAGATCTTTAGCAAATTCTGTTAGCCACCAGTTTGCTTGGAATAAGACGATCCGGCGTGATCTGGGAGATACTCTGAGCCGGCTAGCCACCATGGAGACTCGAATAAATGATACGATGGAATAGAAAGAGGCTGTAGTGTCGAAAAAGAATTAGCCGATAGAAAGACTGCCACGAAGATAATGCTGTTTGAGCTACCACTAAATCCTATATTTTCTTAATGTGTATAATTGTTATGGCACTGAGAACTCGCAATAGTAAGTCTTAGCGGTCGACTATGCCATAAAAAATTAAGACGTAATATCGTGCTAGCTACCAGGAGCTGATTTCTCCTACTCCTGATTTCTATTAGCCAGATTTGAAATATAGCTTGATTGTCCTCCCTGGTTCCAAATTACTGGTTGCTATAGTCTACCTATATTTGCAATCGATAAAGTCTAATAGCTCCGATCTCGGACGTGATATTATTTTCTCATCCTTTCCATTGTCAGACCGACCCTAGTAGCATCTTGATTAGTGGGTGTAGGGCTTTTGGCTAAATCAAATTCTTATAGGTCTCATCGTGGGATGTTCTAGACTCTAGGAAACACAAGCCTATCAACTTGTTTCTTTGGAAACAAGTCTTTTGTTCTAGAGCATTATGTACTTTTAAGATGAGGTACGAAATCCCAAGTGAAAAAAAGGTTGTGGTTCCACAATTAGGTCGTGCCAGTAAGACTGAAGTGGAGAGTAAGATTATGATATACTAGCTTTCCATGGTTTAACTGAATGCTTTGCACTGTTGTGCAAATATACCACTAGGCAGAGAAGCTAACAGGCGGACAGAGACGGTTCCCGGGAAACGAAAGGGTAGGCCCGAACGGTATGAAGTTTTGGAGCCATAGAACTGAGGTAGGACAAAAGTACCACTTAGAGTGCCCTCCAATCGGCGCTATTCGGTAGTGAAAAAAAGACGCAGTTTGACTTTATCGACAGAATGAACCTGATGTTACTGTTCATACTATAGTAGAGACAAGGCCGTAGCAAATAATTGAATAATCTGAAAGGACATGGAGAGGCTTCCTCGCATAGACCACGATATCCTACCCCGCGAGATCGTCGGCCTCGTCGATTTTTAAACAAATAGCCCATACTCATTGGCCGAGGTTGAAGCTTGTGTGTCAAGCAGCGGCGGATTGCTTGATCCGGAGAACCCGGGAAGCGCGTAAGGATCCGCGGATCCCGAAGGATCGGCAGGGGCGGTCCAATTGCCATGGAACACCTCGGTGCCAGGCAAGAAGGATGCCAGTCGTTTATTCTGAAGACCATCGATCAAGTTTCCGAAACGAGTCGCAGCGGATATCAGTTCTCCGTGTGTCTGATGCAAGACTGGCTGTATATCGTCCCATGCCACCTGGTCCTGCAACGTGGTGTTTGTAGACTCCAGCTCTTGCCGCAGCTGCGTAGTCTCCTTCTTAAGCCGCTCAACTTCAGTGACTGCAGTGTCCTTCACCTGTGACCTGCCTACGTCTCGAATTTTGTGTCTCAAGCAACCTCCCCAAATTCGCCGAAAAGGGGCACAGCGACGAGGCTAGTAGTTAATATGCTGGTTGGGACTTCCCGTACAAGCAATTTGACAAGGCACCTCTTTAAGTGTGACGCTGCGGCTGAAGACCTACACGCTGTGGCTCGATAGGTTAGCCCAGATCTAGATAACTTAGACGAGGAAACGAGATAAGATATTATGTTCCGTCTCTTCAAGTGTTTGGAGATTGCGATATTGATGGACATATACCGAATCTTGTCTGCCCGTGCGTCCGAGGGGCCGTGACAATAATAGAGCTGGCCCCAAACGCCAAGTTTGGGGCCCTGACAAGTTGCCAAGACGCTAGTACCCTAAATACAGTAACATACTATGTCTTATAGCATGTGTATGGTAGTTATATTGTTGTAGATTTATGTGGGTCCCGACCCAGTAAATGGACATTCTCTGCCACTAAATCTTGGCAACCCCGATTTCTACGCAGCAACTTACTAGATACGGTCAACACTGCGAAAGGACCGTGGGGTCCGAAACATATAATTGGGGCTTCACTACAGCTCTAAGGGGTATATAAGTCGAGGGTCTCAGGGGTGCAAGTTTCTTCACCATCAACACAAGATGCATCTTCTTCAAGTCCTTCCATTCGTTGGGGCTGCCGCCGCAAGTTATATTCCATGCAATGACGCGGACGGGCTGGATTCTGGTGGGGGATCTAAGATTCCTCTCTCCCAGGGCTGTTCGAACGCAAATATTGTTGATGGTGATTGGCTCACAGTTCAATGTGATGTGGGTGCAAAACTTGGCACTTTTGGTATTCACCTGAACGATTGTCTCGGTAATCAAAATGGCGAACTCGTAATCCAAGAAAAGTAAGACTCCCTTACCCCTAACATATGCTGTATATGTCAAACTGACAGGGCCAGGGGGGGGGGGGTGCAATGGGGTATTGCGACTCAAATCAATGCGCCGTCATTGTTAAGAAGGGCGACAGTGCTCCAATGGAGTGTCATGCAGATAACTGCAAGGGTACAGTGGATCTTGGTAAAAAAAGCCTTTAAACTTAAATCTTACGGCCCCGTTTCTATGTTATTTTCTAACAAGATAACAGACAAGGTCATTACCTACAGCGGCACTTGGCTCGAGACTTTCGGTAAATTGGGAAGTCATGGAACTGATATTACTAAAAGAGACGACGAGGATACCAAGGAAAAATACTCCAAGTTCTGCGATTCGACCAATTTTAACAAGGCTCAATGGGATGAAGCTGATTTGGGAACCGAGCTCGTAGCCCAGTAAGTCAATGGTACAGAAACCTCATGATTTTCTGTGAAGAGACGTTGATTTTGAGGGAATTCTAGATCTAATAATTTCTATACCGATGGACCCTGCGGAGCCGGACTTTACCCTTCGTTTAGCAACTACAAGAACTTCATGGACGCGATCCGAGACCGGGTTGAGGGTTTCAAAGGATATGAGGGCTGTAACGCATCAGTATCTGAATTTCCAGTGAAGTCCTTTCTTGTATCGTGGGAATACAACTGACTAGGTCATGAACAGAGATGACGGATGCGATGACGTCGAGCCCGATGACGAGGTTTGCCATATGGCCGATTTGAACCCAATGTGGCTCATGTTCATGCGATCTATCAAGCACTATTCGGCCTGGATTACGGCAGTACAGGATGGAATCCTCCAGGGTGGAGACTGCAAGGGACAATGCCACGAATGTTATGCATCAATTTAGCTCACATGTGGACGAAAGCAGCGTTAGTGAAGTTTCTACCAACATTTTCAAAAGATATCTTTGACTCAAAGTGGTATAGACCAACGTTGGAAACCCTCTTGTGATTGCTGCGGGGTTTTTGGGCGCTTGGGGGGGCCGTTCTCCCTGGTGGGAACGCGATTGCAGGATTTGGATCTGGTATGGCCACTATTGGAGTTGGACTTGCCAATATGGCATCAACTGATGACAATGCCAAGTAAGTGACCCATGTCCCAGAATATATGACACAGACTAATGGCATTTAGGAGGGTCCAAGATATGATCCTGCGTGGGGATGCCATTAGCCAGCGCATTGACGATATCACGGCTACACTGCGGGAATACGTCAACACATGGGGCGTTGATCTATATGCCAAGCCTTTTTGGCATGAAAATGATGCCTACAACGCGGATTGGTATTCTGACCAAGACCGAAGCTTACCTAATCTCCTCAAGGATGGAGCATTTGTGGAGGGGCACACTGACGATGTCGTCGCAGAAATTGCGGGTGCATATGGCAGGAAAGTGAACGTTGGTGCACTGACATCCGCTTGGTATCAGGAGAATGTCTTTATTATTAAGCTTTCTGACTCGGTTCAGGGCACTAAGCCCTGTGATATTGACTGGGAGTCTACTTTCGAGACAACTTGCACATGCATCGATGATGTGGCATACGTCTTCCATAAGGCCAAGACGTCTAACAACAACGGGATGACGACTTTCCCTATTGAAAAGCCTCCAAATATCGACAATCTGGACGACTTCGATCTGCCCAATCAGGAAACTCTCATCAATGCGGCTATCAATTCGCAAGATCTTGGGGGATACCTAAAGGGTTGGTCGGCGTTAGAGATGCTTGAGGACTGGCCAGAGGTGGACACAACCAAAATGTTCAACTTGCCAATTTGTGAATTGAAAGTTGGCAGTACGATGAAAGGCCAAAAGACGACTAATGTTGATGTGAGTCGCATTCTTTAATGATAAATTTGTACTTCTGCTAACAAAATTCCTAAAGTGGTTGGTTTTCAACGCAATTGGAGATTGCACAGACCAAAAGGACAAGTTTGGCACAAAATTCCCTTATTCTTTTAGCTCTAGCTACTACGACTTTTAGTCATTGAGTGGTAGTTGTTCAATGCGACTGATACTCGGCTGTGTGAGACCTGCGAATATTTTTATTTTGCTAGTGCCACTTAGGTAGCTAGCTAGGGATAATACTTGTTTTGGTATTTTATCCCTTTCGACAATGTCCTATTAAACGGTCTACTCCTCCATATGAGGGGATTTAGGGGGGTGGGTGCAGTCACCCCTCAGAGGCTGTCTCGCCGATTTTCTTCCCCTGCTAGGATGTAGTCGGAGGCATTTTTGGAATGGCCCATAACTAGAAATTTTTGAGAAATAATTGAGCTTTACTCTTTCTTACTCTTAAATACCCATAAAATGAAAGACATGTATGTAAAATAAGTACGTAAGGGCGGCCTACTATAGTGAAAGCATACGAATACTAGCTTGTTCCTAGGCGCCACGGAAGTCCAGTGGGCTTAGGGCTACGACTACCACCGATTCCTAAACTCGAACTTTCAATTCAATCCAATTAAATTCTATTTGATTCTATTGGATTCAAATCTCAATAACCTGGTGCAGCTTAACTTGAACCGGAGGGGCTATGCAAATGTTTCCTCCGTTGGAAACTAGAGCCGTCCAAATACCACGCATAAAACTGACAAATACAAAGGAGATATGACGTAGAGCCATATAAAAGCAGGTAATAATCCCACAAAACTATCTCAAAACACTCACAGAGTGAGGGATCGGTTACTGGCAGCTCACTCAGCGTCTTTCGGCCAAATAGCACCTCCGCTCTCACTTCCCTGCTTCCTTATGTGGCTCTAGCTACATAGCGATCTTAATCCTCGTGTTTCCTTCGGTCTAGTTGCCAGTCGCTTTATTCTTCGTGTGGAGACTCATAACCCCGTGCTTTAATTCCTCTACCTACTCCAAAAGAGCATGGAATGAACACAGTGGTAAAACTGCGACCACAGGGAATAATGCCTCGACCAGTTACCATCGATAATCTTATTGTGGTCACAGGACTCAGCGGTCCTAATTGTTCCAATATCAAAAAGCCAAGATAAGAATGGAATCCACATTGCCCTCATGTATTTTTGGTCCCCACTTCCAAAAGTGGCTGTGGGGATTTGCCATCCTTCCCCCTGGATGCAGTCCCGGTTTTCATTCATCTTGAGATGATAAAATAGCTTGTTTTCATGGGAATGCGTCCTAAAAATAACTCAGAAAGACAACAAAGCGATATCTGACCGGCTGTCGAACCTTTTGGTAAGAATGAGGTCTGGAAAACCAGGTGCATAAGAAGGAATACTATTGGATGGCTGCTGCTGCCAATCATTGTTTAGCAATTCCAGCCTCCGAAGTCTCAGTTGAGAGAATATTTAATACAGGGAGGGACGTGCTTGGAGTACTACAGTTCTCTATGAATGGAGAGCCATTGAGGATCTTAATATCGTTAGATTGTATGTACAGGCAGTTAACATAGAGGTGTACATGCATATACGTATTCGTATGCTGCATGTCGCTCCAATTGTAGATTTTACCACCAGACCAAAAACGAATCCGCTCTCAGCCTGGTGGATGAGGTTTATAATCAACTTCAATTGCGAGGGGTCAAGGTAAATGAAACCATCTTCATAATCTACTGTGCCGGTCTCACAACATCGCTGCACGGAGGATGAATTGTCACCGTCATGCATGTCATAATTGTATTTCCGAGGGAGATATTCCATATCAATGACAATCAGAGACCTGAAAATGTAATTTTTGGCGCCCAAAATTTCATTGGTGTGTATAGTCTGATAGCTACGTATGCCTAACTCAACTTGATGATTTCATTAATGGTAGGTTAGGTTCAGCCTTTAACTTTTATACTTTCATCGAGACTTTGTAAATCCGAGCATCCAATCTCCACAATGCATTCACTCTAAACTTAATAAAGCTTTGCATTGCAATAAAGTTGGATCAGCATAAACGTCTGTGTATCCATTCAGTTATCAAATTAATATGAAATCCGCCCAAGGTCATGAAATTGACCGTTTCAGAGCTTTGTTGCTATGTACATTTGCGAGATCTGGTCTGAGAGGGCTTCCATGGCCACGCCACTTCGCTCTCCATTTCCCACGTTTTGACTCCCAATGATATGCCCACTAGGAGCGACTTATCACGGACAAATCGCGAAAGAGAAGGGAGCAAAGATGATGATCTGGGAGGATTGGAGAGGGGCTGTGCTCAGCCCCGCGGATTGCGGGGTTGTCACCACGCAGGTCTGCGCCTGAGCGCCCTCGCCTTTGAGGTATTGGTTGAAGACCGACCCATCCGTGGTCTACTCGTTGTTGACAAAGCCTTTAAAAGCTTTTTGTCACAATAAGGGTTTCCGGGCCCTAGATGACATGAGAAGGGAGTTAATCAAATAGGACTGGTGACGCACGCTCTGCACGCTGTGGACATATACCTGGTGAAAAGGTGATGGAGAGTGAAGTAGAAAACCGTGAAGTTAAAAGGCTTTATCTCTGATTGCGATGGGAAAGTTACACAAAGGCATGGGGAGGGTGTGAAGTGGGGGAAGACTTTTGCGAATGAGCCTAGCGTGGGGATGGTGCAGAGAAGGTATTAGCTGTGTTTGGGGATGGGAGTATAGAGTAGGAAGCTATATAGTATCCTCGCTTCTTTCTACTCACACCGTCCGAGAGCTGTGGATAGGCAGAATGCTACAAATACCGTAAATAAATTGCGGCTCGTTTGTCAGCGTTTGAAAGATGTGATCATTGACTCAACTTTGAACCGTGGGCATAGAGGATATTGTAAACCATTAAGCCTTGAGACTGGGCAATGTTCATCCTGGTATTCGAGTCAACAAGAGCAAGTTGTTATACAGGATAATTTTGAGAATGAGAAGAAAATAGAAGGACGCGGATGTTGTAAAATTGGATTACATATGCTCGGCGAATCTACGCGGCATGGCGCGGCCGACGGTACTTGAGCTTGATCAGCTTCGATGTCAAAGGGGCTTACAATGGGGTTTGCAAAGAACGACTGCTCCAGGGGATGAAGGCGCGGGGCATACCAGAGGTGCTGCCCGGTAGATCGAGGCGTTCTGCTCGGAACGAACGGCGACCCTCCAAATCAATGGGCAAGTGTCCGAGGTCCAGAGCCTTCCACAGGCTGGACTACCCCAGGGCTCCCGCTTGTCCCCGATCCTATTCCTCTTCATTAACGGAGACCTCGTACAGCGACAGATGGACGGCCAGGGGGGAGCGATTGCTTTGGTGGATGACTTTACCACATGGGTAACCGGGCGAACCGCGCAGAGTAACCGGGAAGGTATTGAAGCAATTATCAATGAAGGGCTGGTTTGGTAAATGAGGAGCGGAGCGACCTTTGAAGCGGAAAAGAACATCAGACCGATCAATTGAGTTCAAAGGGAAGAAGCGCAAGCAATTGTGGGAACATTTCTCACAGTTGCGACCAGCGTAGCAGAGGCCGAGGCCCACATTGCGACTGCACAGCATCGGTTCTGGAGACGCGCCGTGAAGATGTGGACGGACATCCACACCCTGCCCGAAACAAACCCCGTCCGCAGGCATACAGCGCGGATCAAGAAACTCAGGAGATATCACCGTTCGCCATTGCATCAAGTAGCGGATGCGCTGAAGAATATCGAGATGGAGACACATTAACCAATTTGCCTTAGCCCCATGGGAGAAGCGCATACAGACAGATATTCAAGAAACCCCAGGGAAACGAACCGAAGCAGGCGGATCCATGCAGATCGCAGTCAGCAGTTCGGCACGGAACGAGGTGGTTGGATTTGGAGTGGCGATCGAGAAGCAGCCACCTCGTTATCGAGAACTGAAACTGAAGGTTTTTTCCGTCACACTGGGTGCCAGAGCAGAGCGGAACCCATACCCTGGGGAGCTGGCAGCGATGGAACATGCATTGGACACGCTATCGGGGCTGAAACAGTACAGAATCACACTGCTCACAAGCAACAAAGCAGCGGCTCTCACGCCGAGGAACCCTCGACAACAGTCGGGCCAGGAACATATCTGCCAGGTGTATAAGATAATCAAGAGACTACGACGACACGGAAACGAAAGCAGCATCCGCTGGGTCCCAGGCAGCGAAGATAATCAACTGCTGGGCCTGACGAAAGAGCAGGCCAGGGCCGCGACCCAAGAGGACGCTACCCCGCAAACAGAGAACCCCCGGACGAAGTCAACCACACTGAATATCGCACGGTCCCAAGCAGTCGCCACCAAAAGCCTACCAGAGAACGCCAGGAGACATTCCAAACGAGTGGATACAGCACTTCCAGGGAAACACACTCGACAGTTGTATAATCGATTGTCTTGGAAAGAAGCAAGCCTGCTGGCTCAACTCCGGACTGGCATAGCAAGGCTCAATGGATACCTCTATCGAATCAACGTCGCAGAGACGGATCAATGTGCATGTGGACAAGCAAGAGAGACCGTGGAGCATTTCCTCTTTCGATGCCAGAAGTGGGCCACGCACCGGACGGAAATGCTGCAATGTACCCATACTCACCGAGGCAACATATCTTCTTTCCTAGGCGGGAAATCTCCTTTGGATGACCAGAACTGGAAGCCGAACTCGGAAGCAGTGCGAGCTACAATACGGTTTGCAATCGCCACGGGCCGACTCGACGCCTCTTAACCATGTCGACCAACACAAATTAACCATACCCCACCCCATCCCCAATCTAACCCCCACCATCTTCCTTGTGCCAGAGACGGTAGACGCGCTTCAGGATAGGATGTTGAACACTTGAAGAAGCGCCTTCAAGCCAGTCTACTAACAAAATACTAACCCACAAGGACCCGCTATGACATTGACAGCTGAAATGGCATATATCGAAAGGAATATTGTATGGGCTCCAAGGAGACACG